ATTGTAAGCTGAAACAAAGATAAATGTACATATGTCCTTCTATTCCAGTAATTATTCTTAAGTCCGCAAAATGTATTTGGTATTTTAGCTTTGGAGCAATTGACAGGTCTTTCCTTTGTACTCTTTATCTAGTTTATATTCTAATATTATACTCAACTTTAGTAGTATGCTAGGATTACTAGTATACTAGATTTTAAGCTTGATTCTTCATTAAGTTTGCCTGTAATTTTCAATGTCCTCTAATATTAATCACCATTTTTATTAGAGCTCTTATATTCATTCAGAAATATTCTGGATCACATGGTACGACTATATATTTTAATTTATTGCCCAATTATTCAAAATAACAATGATGTAAATCATTTTTGCATCATTGCATTGTTCCTCATTATTTGTTGTACTGTCTTTATATGTTGAGAAATCCAAAGTTAAATTATTTTGTGATTTATAAGCTCATCATGTCATAAGAGTGAAATAACGTATAGAGAGAAAACATAAACTATGAATCTAGGAATTTATAACTTTGGTTAGTTATCCAAGGGTTGCACACAACATGTCACCTGTACTAGCAGTACAGATAATAGAACATAATAGTACTGTCTGACTGTTTAAATCTGCAACACCTTCTACATCTTAGTAGAAATCTCAGTAAATATTCCAATTTTTCCTTGGAGGATTGCCTGCATTCAGATTGTGCCAATAATGAAGAGTTCCACTGGTTTCAGTGCTACTCCATACCAGGAACCAGACTGCATAGATTAATTAAACAGGATGTCTCATGAAAACAGTTACTGCTGATCCTAATTAAATTTTGGAAGTTTTTCATAGAATCTTTGGTTTTTATCCACTAATTATCTAAAAAATAATAATCTGCTGTTTATTCTTCTACATCCAAAAATGTTCCTGTCTTCATCTTCTAAAACATGATTACTTAGCCATGCTCTTACAGCACCCTCAGTTCTAATGCTGTTAGGTGAATGGAAGAATGTACACACACATTGATATCAAGATTCCTGAAACCCAGACACTCTGTTTTACAATTGTTTTTCCATTGTTATGTGATATGATCTTAAAAACACTGCTCTTTTTTTTTTTTTTCCATCATTCTCTCTTCATTTCAACAAAATGATTTTATTCCCTTCACCTTTTGTCAATTCAATTCTGAATAATAAATAACAAATTGGTTATTCAGTATGCCAAAAGAGATGTTGCTCTACCAGGAACATATTCTTTGGAAGTCTGGATTCCATCTCACAAATTTTCACATTCTTTTTCTATCTATCTACTTTTCCTCAAGCAGTGGTTTTTTGGTTTTGAGAAGGCTTCACTCAGAATATAAATCTGTTAACAGTGCAAATTAAGAACTAGCATTTAGGTTATTTTGGTTTGTTCTTCTGCTGATTATATTCTCATTGAAAAATTCAGTATCTGATGTAAATGTTTTGGATTCCATCTCAGATTTTTAGTTGTTTTTCTTTTCATTTATCCTGTGTGCAAGTCCATCATGAATTCTACTGACTATACTGACAGGGTTTGTAGTTCTTTTAAAACTGACTTTTTTTGGTTCAATAGGATTTTGTGCTTTCTCATACGTGATTCCTCACTACATGAACTGCCATGTTTATCACACCCTTACCTTGATTCCTGTTTTCTCCGTTACTTTGTTCAACTAAAAGCTCCCTCCAATTATATGATTCTGGTTTATTTCACATTATGTACAATCTTCAAATGTAAAGACATACTTTTATTTTCTATCAGAACACGTACGTTCCTGTCTTTTTTAGAAGAGCTTTCTTTTTTTGGAATCATTGTTTCTGTTTCAGTCTATATGGACCTTTATACTGTAGAAGGATTCCAAAGAGTACTGAAATAAAAGTCTGTCCATAATTTCAAAAACATTTAATGATGCTTGCAAAGCACTTGACTGTCGTAGGCCGGATAATATGACATTATTGACAAGTATGACATTATGACAAGTATATACAATTTGAATTCGATATTTTTCAAAACTGTAAATATTTTTCCAGTCCCAAATGTCTAGGTTTGATTCCTAGCAAGATATGCGAATTAAGACTTTTCAAGTGTCCCAGAACTTTTCATGAGGTAGTTCAGTTTTTAGTGTAGCTCTGAAGACACGTGCCATCAATTCATGACTACTAAAATGCAATGTACTCTGAAAAACCATGTATTTTAGAAGCACTTGAATGAAAAAAAAAAAAAAAAAAAAAAAAAAAGACAAGATTTATACACTACTCAATAATGCTATTTGCCCCACTTAAAGAAATTTCAAAGGTCTGTGCAAACAGTAACCTAAGCGATGGCTCAATTTCTCTCCTGTACCAATGGCAGTTCCATGAATCAGTGGTGAGATTGCTTGCTTCTATAACACCAGCCCTAATTCTTCTTTTGAGAAGGTATTGTCCGGTTTTCCACTGAACTTTTATTGTGACTGTAACTACAGAGACTTTCTGTTTGAAAGATAGGCCCAATATGTCATTCTCGTCTGTGGTTAACTTTTGAGACTGAACAACTATATTTTTATCATTTGTAATTGGGTTGTCATTTCCTATGTTTTGAAGTTCTGCATTTAATTGTACATAGATTATACTCCAGAATAAGATATTTTTTTATGAGTATATAAAAGTATCTCTTGTTACACACTGATCTGTATAGAGATAAAAGCATTTCTAACTCATAGGAATGCATATAAGCTAAGTTAAAAATAATAATAATTTTAGGGTTTCTTTGTTCCACTGAGATCCCTGAAAATCTGAATTCTCTATTTAATGTTCAGAGATGTCTCATACTTAAATATTGATGGCCTATAGGTGGCTTTCAGCCATTACAAGTTCTTCAGATTGACTAAATGCTATGTGAAGAATTACTTCCCTTTATAAAAGCTTTTGTTCAAACAAAACCTTTTGAAAAGAGAAAGGGATGTGGGTTTTGTTTGATATATTGTGGGATGCTAAGAATCCCTGGTATTTCAGGATTCTTTGTGCACTGACCTAGCCATAACATTTGCACACTTCCAGACTAATAAGTCCATAGAGAGTTTGAAAAGGCTTTGAGGATAGAATTTAAATCCTTTCTATTAGTCATTCTCAGTGGCCTGTATTTGATCTTCATTCAGTTTCCTAAATATATTGACTAAGTCATATTGTTACTGACAGTTTTCCTGAGGTCTTTTAAGTAGGCTGTGCTTGAACACCATTGTCTTGTGTTAACCCAAAGCTTATCTGGTTTTGTATGCAAAATGCTCCACTTGCAAATTGGTAATGTGCTGTCATTAAAAATATATGTATATCTTTATAGAGAATCAGTCTGGATCTTTTCATGTATTTCTTTCTCTTGGATGACTGTGATGGACTTTTCTGACTGGTTTTGGCTTCTCTGTGTTTCAGGATGTTGAAGATTTCATGCCTTACAAACACATAACACATATGTTTATATGTTTCTATTGAATTATTATTCTTTGTTTCAGCTTTGCCTTTTTCTCTATCTCTGCTGTTAATGAGGACTGTTCCTCAATTCCAAGTTTTATTTATTTGTCCAGTGACTGAAATAAATCCTACTTATCTGAAGTTCTAGAAATAATATCTGAGATCATGAATAGTCACAGTGGTATGTTCATGATATGCAGTCTTAAACAATGGTTCATAAGTACAATTGCTGTAAAAATGAAGGCCTTCTAGGGAGAATCTGTTGAACCTAACAAATATATATATATATGTATCCAGCACTTACCTACTCTTATTTTCTATTCATTATCATAATCATGTGTACTTTTATAATGCTAGAGAAGTCCAACTAAGATAGAGGGTAGTTTCTGTGTGGTGCTAGGCCCTCCAAGAACTCAACAAATAATAGTCAAACATGCCAGAAACCTTATTGTTTAATGATATTAGTAGCTGATAAGCTTGTTCATAAACCTAAACACATTTGTATTTTGGAAGATAACATTCATTCATATGCTCATTCTAAAACTCAATTCCAGCGTTGTTATCCTGTACCTTCCTCCTTTTTTTCTAGTCCACCTGTTTTTATTCAAATTGTACCCCTAAATATTCTATCCTTCTTTTCCCATTTCTGCACTTGTGGTGATGCTGTCTTTGTCCCCAGTACTCTGCTGCCTTTCTGCAGATATTTATTTCTCATCACGACTCCTTCCAGTGGTGCCTAATGCCAAGACAAGAAGCAGTGGGCATAAACTGCAACACCAGAGGCTCCCTCTGAACACCTGGCTGCACTCCTGTGCTGTGTGGTGATGGAGTACTTGTAGAGACTGACCAGAGGCTATGGGTCTCCTTGGAGATTGGCTTGCTTGGACAAGGGTATAGGCACCCTGCTCACAGTGTCCCTACTTGAGTAGGGGTGTAACCACATGCTTCCAAACTCAACTCCTTCTGTGATTCTGTGATCTAACTACACTGATGACCAATACTCAGAAAAGTAAAACCAGTGATACCGAGTATCGTGCTTCTTGAAGAAAAGTTCAACTTCATCAGTGAAGGCACTTTCTTATCAACTGATCTTTTCTTTCCCATTTTGGTGAACAGTTCTGTTTTCATACCTCTTGACAAATGTCAAGAAGCAACCCTACTACCTGCATTGTTTCTATGAATCCTTAAATTCAGCAAGTACAAATAGTAAATAATTATGGTATATTAACAAGTGCAAAAAGTTGGAATGTTGATTAAGAAAAGTAGAAAGCAGAAGGCAAGATTTTGTTGTTGGATAATTGGAATTGTAGTGTCAGACAGTGATATTAACAGGTTGTTGTTCTTGTTTGATTTTTTTTATTTTTTTTTTTAGAAATAGATTACTTGCAATGCAAATCTGAATATTTCTGTGTGGAATGTATTCATTATTATACCATTAAGCATGCATTTTTTTGATGTTAATAGAAAAATTCATAGCAATTACTGAAAAAATAGAAACAGCTATTTTTGGGTCACTGCTGTGTTTTCACTGAGTTGAGAACATGTATTACTTTTCAGGTGAGCTCTGTGAGGAGAAACTAGATTTCTGTGCTCAAAACTTGAATCCTTGCCAGCACGACTCAAAGTGTATCTTGACACCTAAAGGTTACAAGTAAGTTTAAAATGTTGTCATGGTCCAGCTGCATCCAAATTTTTAGGGTTTTTATCCTCCTCAGCATCCTTTGTTTTTCTTTTAGTGGAAGGAAGTTCTGTTCTCAAAATTCAGTTATTACTAAACATTACAGTAGACTAGGCTCAGTTATTTTAAGGTAGATCTCCAATATTATCTTAGATATGATTTACTTAATTAAAAGATTCTTAGCAGTTCAAGCTTCAACTAGAATTTGAAGAAGAACAAAATGCAGAGCAGTTAGTTTATATGATAGTCTATACAAAACCCTTTTAGTATCTTGGACAGTGGGAAAATAATTACATTTAATTGAAGTGGAATTATTATACTGCTGTCTGAGAAGTAATTATGGAAGAGGTTATTAGGAAGGAACACTGGAAGGTATAAAATAAAGTCCATTCCCAGGAAAGTTAATCTGTAATTACACTATATACTTATTACAATTAATTATGCACACTTCAAAGTGTTTTAACAGGCTTTAGGTTAATAAATCATAAGTACCTGTCTTACACAGTGTATGCTCTTGTGCCAGAATCAGGTTATCTATTATCATTACAAAAGCTTATGAAAAGACATGTTATTTAAATTGAGGCAGAAAACATTCAAATATATCAAATATTCACATGAACACAAAATGTTCATTAAAAAAGTTGTCAATTGGAAAATAAAAAACTTGTTGGATTTAATTTTTTCTGCATTATGTTTATTATCTTCATACCACTTCAGGAATCTAGTTTGGCATCTCATACTTTACTACTCAGTTGATCAATCTTGTAAGTTAATTTCTGAGATTTTAAATCAGAAAATAACACATGCAGTAACTTCAAGAATGTGTCTCGCTTATTTTTATTAATAGCGTGCTTTATGTTCTTTATTCCATTTTCTTGTTTACATATGTTGTTCAATAAATTTGGGATCTATTTTGTTAGAGTACTTAATTTAACATTACACAGATATTTGAAATCACTCTTGGCTCTTTAGAGCAAGTTTTAGTTGTAAGAGAAAACAACGGCAAGGGAGGAATCACAGGGTCTAATGAAATCAATCCATAAATCTTAATCAAAAAATATTCATGTGAATGTATGAATTAGTAATATTTTCCATTCATTCTTCACAGACTTCTGAGCATTCACTCAGTCTGAGAATATGAGAACTCCCTGCAGAACTGCTGCTAGCATTAACAATGAGAGTAAAATAAATGATAAATACAATGAAGTAAAATTAATAATAATAAAATAAAAAAATAATGTTGCCTACTATTCTGACAACATAAAGTTTCCAGTTCAGTGAGAACTTGAGGGCTCAGGGCAGGGATGCAAAGAGTGTGTTTTGAGACTTACGTTAGTTCACTAACATCGAGCTATTTGTGGTAAATTAGGCTGGTTGAACTTCAAGGGGAAAAATAATGTGTTACCTTTGAATTGAATAAATGGATCTTTGGCCTATTCTTAGCTGTTCAGTCGGCAAAGAAATTATCCATCAGAATAACACAAATGTTGGATTACTTGTCTGCTTCAACAACTAAGCATATTGATTAGTGTTCACAGCCACTTACAGCATCCCTTAACATTCTGCATTACTCATAAATTCAAAGAACTGTCAAAATGATTCATGAGGTCTCTCTGGTTTTAAACCACAAATTATTCGATATAACGTCAAATAATGAGTAAGCATGTATAACTGGCAAACCTGGAAATGAAAATTCCCCAAATAATAACATGATTAAGGTACAAAGTCAGAGTAACATTTTAAAGTTTCAAGTTTTAAACAACCGATTAGTTCCTTAGCTTTCACATTAACACTCAGTATTGTTAAAAGGCATTGTGTTATCCTTGCTTTTCTATTTTACAGATGTGATTGCACACCTGGATATGTAGGTGAACACTGCGATATTGACTTTGATGACTGCCAGGACAATAAATGTAAAAACGGAGCACAGTGTACTGATGCAGTTAATGGGTATACATGTATTTGCCCAGAAGGATACAGGTGAGGAAGATTAGAAAATAGTACAAGCGTGTTTAAGGCCAAGTTGGATGGGGCAATCTGATATAGTACTTGGTCTTGGAGAAGGCTCTGGGGCGACCTCACTGTGGCCTTCCAGTACTTGAAGGGAGCATATAAACAGGATGGGGATCAACTGTTTACATGGGTTGATAGTGATAGGGCTATGAGGAATGGTTTTAAACTGAAACAGGAAAAATTTAGGTTAGATATTAGGAGGAAGTTTTTTACTTCCTCTTTACTTTAAATTACTTTACTTACACAATGTAACAGGCTGCTCAGAGAGGTTGTAGACGTCCCATCCCTGGAGGCATTCAAAGCTAGGCTGGACGTGGCTTTGGGCAGCCTGGTCTGGTGGCTGGCGACTCTGCACAAAGCAAGGGGATTGAAACTAGATGATCTTTGAGGTCCTTTTCAACCAATTCTATAGTTCTATGTGTGTCTTTCTTGAGTCAGTCACGTTGTTTTTTGTAAATCCTGATTTTTCTATTTGTATTTAGTGGCTTGTTCTGTGAGTTTTCGCCACCGATGGTTTTACCTCGCACCAGCCCTTGTGATAATTATGAATGCCAAAATGGAGCCCAGTGTATTGTAAAAGAGAGTGAACCAATCTGCCAGTGTTTATCAGGCTACCAGGGTGAGAAATGTGAAAAGCTGATCAGTATAAACTTTGTCAACAAAGAATCTTATCTACAAATCCCTTCAGCTAAGATACACTCCCAAACCAATATCACTCTTCAGGTAAGATTGCTTGTATGGAAGTTTCTGATCTCGAAAACAGTATAAATTATCTTTTTTTGGTGTGAAAAAGTACCCCCATTAATCATTGGCTCATTTAAAGAGCTTTTCACAGTTTGAGCAAAGAATAAATGAGAGTCACTAGAATAACTCTATATTCATTATGAAGTAGATAATAAGCTTATTGATAAGAAGAGAAAGAATATAGTTGTGTTGACCAATGAGGAATTTTACAGTAAATTAATAGACTGTATCAGTAAAATGAGAGATTTACTTACTACAGCATTTTGATTAAATATTTTTCATTCTTTCCAATTGTTTCTTTCTTTTAATTAGATTGCCACAGATGAAGACAGTGGGATCCTGCTCTACAAAGGCGATAAGGATCATATAGCAGTAGAGCTGTACCGTGGTAGAGTGAGGGTCAGTTATGACACAGGATCTTATCCAGCCTCTGCTATTTACAGGTGAAGTTAGATTTAAAAAAAGAATAATAAAACCGAACTGGAACAAAAGATGTATTAATGGTATCTCAAAGTCATGTATTTTGAATAGATAGTTAAAAAGAAATACATTCAAATGAATGTATTGTCAGACATTTTGTAATCAAAACATACTGCCAGATACATGATTTTTCTCGGAAGGTAACTCTCATGTGTCAGCATAATATATTATTTGATCCATTAAAACCGAGTAAAAGTTGGCTTTCGGTAGAATATATATATATGTTTGTGTAAAACTCACATGTAAAAGTGTTGTGTTTATTTTTTTTTCCCAAGATGTTACTGCCAAATAATTTCCAAGTGTGCAGGGTAAAGTGCAGAACTGTACGGCACAAGCAGAAATGAAATGGCAGTTTTTCTTCTGTTCTGTGTTAGGCATAAAAAGTGAGACTTTTCCCTGGCAGTGGAAAATTTGATTCTAAAAAAGTCACTACCCTTGAAAAATAAATGGCTTTTGCTCCCAGAGTCATCAAGAGACAGAATACACATCCGTTTCTGTAGTATAGATTTTCAGCTGTTTTAAGCGAAATTTATCTGATTCTCCAAAAAAAAAAAAAATATTACCTGAATTTCCCAGGAGATTTTATATCTCTCATTTCAAGAATTTACAGAAAGACATTGCAAGCATGAGCAAAAAGACAACAGGGATCACCTCTTCTCCTTAATCTGTCCTATTGTTGCTATAAACCCATTCAGAAGTAACTGGGAAGTTTTGAATGAGTTTTCCCTGAGTCTTGTTTTCTTCTGTAATTACACCTCTTACATTGTAAAACTTTATCTAGTGTTTATTTTTTTGCTGGAGGTTGTACTTAGCTGACATTGTTCTGTATTCTATTAGGGATTTAACACTGAAAATACATTATTTTTTAGAAATGATTGCACTCAATATAAAATCAAAGTTTACGTTTATGTATGCTAAACTTTGGTCGGTAATAGCATCATGGGAACTGTGTTTCCTAGTAGATTACTGAAAACATTCCACAGGAAAAAAAAAAAAAAAAAAAAAAAAAAAACCAAAACATTTCACTATAATATAATACAAAGATGTTTAGTAAAACCATAGACTTTTACAATAAACATCTTAAGATTGTTTCTATTTTCTGATGCAGTATATGATTTATGACTTCGTTTACAGTTCCATGGAATGGTTTAACATGTAGAAATAGTAACTGTATTTTCATTATATAAATTAAAATGCAGAAAACAGACTCTATAGAAGATTTAAACATTTAACACAAATGTAATATTGCCAAAAAGAATAAGACAAGTGGTACCTCACTGAGCAAAGATGAGATATCTAAAACAGAAGCCAAAATAAGTATATATATATATATATATGTATACAGCTAATAGATTCAAATAGAAGTTTTGTTGTATAAATGGTAGTTAAGAAAAGGTGTGTTGAGAAGGACTCAAATGGGAACTATAAAGCCTGCAGAAATGCTTGTAGTAGGAACAAAACAGTTACAAACAAATGATTTATTCATGATAAATACAGAGAATGAACAGTAACAGCAGTCTAGCTGAGTAGAGTGAATGAAACTGCTTTGCCAGTGGGAGTTTACTGAAGAAAGAGCCGTAATCCCAAAAGCAGTCAATCTGAGTAACAACATGAGATGACGATGGTGCCTAGACCAATAAATAACATTAATTGATTGGGGATGCTTTGTTTGGGAAAAGTTGAATCACTTAAATTTTGTTCTATCTGGGCATCTATTTTAAAATATTGTTTTTTGTGGGTTTGGGGTTGTGTTTTTGGTTTTTTTTTCCATAAAAAAAGAAACCTATTTGTTCTATAAAGCCACTTGCAACATATATTTACCGGGAAAATATGAATATTTCTTCTTGAATTACTATTCTTATACAGAGCTCCAGAAACCTTAAATCAATTTTTCTTAGAGCCTTCTGCTAGGATCTGTGCATTTCACTCTTTATTCTCCAGTGGGAAATGTGCTAGAAGTAATGTAAGTGCATTGGCAGGAACTATTGCACAAATATGCTTTGTGCTTAGTTCCCCTTTAATTTAAACCACCCTTACCTAGGAGGGCTCCTCTTTCTACAGTAATTTTTTTCTTAACTGGTAAAACGGGTAAAACTAGAAGCTTATAATAATCACTCTTAAGAGAGATGCATTCCCTTTCCACATGGTTTTATACATCCCTAGAATGACCTCCTGCTATAAAAACACATGTTCTGTGTTGCTCTCATCCTTGTAAATGTGATAGCGTGAAAGGTCCTTAAGTTGTAAAGTGGTGTTAGCTGCCTTGGAATAAAAACATTATATTAGGGTTTCTTGTTTACTTAAGTCACATCCATTTTTATTTATTGACACAACTCCTTTTTCCTAGATTCACTGAAATGTGTTAAATATGTTAATCCTGGCAGATTTCATGTTGCTTGATCACAGGAAACAACTTCTTAATAAATTGAATAGATCATACATTTTAGAAGTATTGAACTTCAATCTGTTTCTTTCCCACATGGAACCTCTTGGTCATTCCTCCTCCTTCCGAAAAGTGCTTATTCTGCCAGTGTCTACACTGTGCATTTGCATTTTTATGTAGAGCTAAATTTATTTAAAGCATCATGCTACTATGCAGAACTTGTATCCTTACTGATCTGGGCCTGGATAGACTGACGTTGGTAATAAATAGCTGAGAAGCTGCTTAATGTGTCACAGCTGTAAACAACTATGTGAGCACTTCTGAACTGTTCCAGGAAAAAAGCAGTTAGGTTAATGAAAGCATCACTAAGGATGTTAAAAGGTAATTTGTTTGATTTTTGCCCTGAGATTTAGGAAGCTAATCCTTTTCAACTATACTGCTTTTCTAATGAGAAGAGCTCACTGTCTGTAAGATTGTTCTGTCCATCTCAGACTAACATCATACAATTGGTTCATTTAAATTACTTTTCAAAGGCTTAAGCTAACTTGTTTGATGGTATTCTGAAGCAAATAGATGCTGTCATGGGAATGGTAATAATGTCTGGTCCCTGGACTACAGCTTATTGTCATAACTTCCATCCAGTCACACATTAAGCTCCCAACTCTCCAGTTGAAAATGAGCTAGAAGTAATTTAAGTACAATGATATATTCAGTCCCAGAACTATTGAGTTCTGGGACCTTTCTCTCTGATGTACTTAAACTGTGTTTAAATATTCGCTGTGTAATATCGAGGTCAGTAAGCACTGACAGACGTTTCTTGTGCTTAGTAACATTAATGTGTAGGCTTGTGCTTGCATAGCATAAGCACCATGCTTGAAACAAGCCTTCTCTGCTTGACGTGCTTCAGGCATTTTACTACTAGTGGGTTTGTATTCTTTGAGTAAGAAGAAGCAAATGGTGTACAAAGGCAAGAAAACAAAAAAAAACTTATAGTATTTATAGTGCAAGCCAGAAGATGAATGCAGAAATGACCAGGCCTGGTAAACAGCACAAATTATTTTATTGCTAGCATCAGTAGAGCTGCCTGGATCAATGATATCATTTTGTCTGGCAGGACTAAGATTAGACGCAGTTCCATATTCCATTAAACTAAGTTTATATATCACTGGAGTCAACTCATTCATTCCTACTTGCAGAATATGTAAACTCACCACTGTGCAACCTGTAGGATAGGATACACAAATACATGGAGACTAATAAGATCTTTGCACAAAGTTTTTGTGTGTTTGGCTTCCTGCCTAGTAAATGCAGTTCAACTGTTTAGAATATCAGCTGTTACACAGTTCACGATTTGATAAGAATGAATAAAAATTGGCTATTAGTAATTTCAAAACGTATTACTAATAGAGTGTTATTGAAGAGTTACTACACTGTGTTAGCTCTTATGTATGCATGCAGATAAATCTAGCTTTCTGGAAACTGCACTTTTGAAGAAGTTTTGTTCTGAAGCTATGTTAACTGTCAAAGAGAAAGAAGATCAAAATCATTCTAACCAGAGCATCAACTGTTTCAAATTAATGTTTATTTTGCAGTGTGGAAACTATTAATGACGGCAATTTCCACATTGTGGAGCTGCTAGCCATGGATCAGATTCTGTCTTTGTCTGTTGATGGAGGAAGCCCCAAGATAATTACCAATTTGTCCAAGCAGTCCACTTTGAATTTTGATTCTCCACTGTATGTCGGAGGTAAGAGGATCTTACTGCTTCTACATATAGTATTGGCTAATTTGACTGGTTATATGTGTTAATAAGCATATGGTAGGAGACTCATTCATGAAGACAGCATCTGAAAAAGAAACATGAGCTGAGCCATTATCTCAATAGCTTCAGCTTGAAAAAACAGTATTGGAAAAGTGGCTAGTACCTTAAAAATAAAAATGTCCTTCTACCTAGAATTTAGTTGAAAAATGGAGCATGTCTTCATAAACTGCATCTATTGTCAGTCAATTTCTCTTGTAAAACCAAGTAACAAAAGCCTCAGTTGCAAATAATGAGGGATGAGGTGAATTTTGTCTCTTTTCTATTCTGTCCTGTAAACATTTATTTATTTTTGGGTCAAATCTTTCTGTATTTGGTTATTGCCTCCTCCCATCAAAAATGAAAACAAGTACAAGATATGATTCAGCATTAGTCATATTCCTCACACTAGCAGAGAAATGACCATCATCACATATATGAATTGCCTTTAAAATTCTGTTATATCACAGATCTTCAAAGGAGGACTGCTTTGTGGAAGCATGTTTGCATGTCTGTTTTTTCATGTGTATCATTTCTGAAGTGTTATTTATGTAATGTACAGTGTCACACTTTTTGAAAGGAGGGAAAGTCCTACAATCACACTGTGATTAATGACTGCTAAGAATACTGAGATGAGAGCAGAAAGATTGCCCTATCTGTTATGGGCATCTAGTACTGAAATGATTCTGTACATTCAAGTACAGACATTCATTTTGTTCAGTGTTAACACTCACTTATGATTTATGACATACAGTTCTCTTGCTTCTTCATCTAGCAGATGTGTCTTCATTAGAAGACATATTAATCTGTGTAATCATCATGAATTATCAGAAGAAACAATTTTTAGAAATGACTTTTTCTTCCAGTGGTCTGGTTCCTAAGAGCAGGAGTCTCTTTCAACATGCAACGTATGCTTTAGAGTTATCCTGTGTTGCTTCTATTTCCTCACATTCAGACTCCAAGCAGAAAATCCTTCCAGCTGTCATAGAAAATGTTAATCCAAAACAGAATGAAAGCTGCTATCAGGAGCACATTATATTATTATTATAGAGCAAAAAATAGTAGACATGTACTCATCTGTTAAACTTTTATGTTCTCTATCTATATTTGTATATTCATTATCTTTAAAATTTTTGAGACGGTTAAAATCCACCCTTTCTTCATTATTTTACTTATCTTTTTAGATTCATTCACTTTTTTTTCATAGTCTATCTAGAATTTTTGAAGAATTTGATCACACATATCCTTCAGTTACGAACTCAAATTCTCACTAGAATTCTTGGCAGTATTCTCATCTTTGCCAAAGTCTTCGTTTGACACCTATACCATCATGTAACTTACACTTGCTCTTGTCACCTTTCTGTTAAAATGGCATTTCTGGTAAGCATCACCTCAGCTGGCATGATGAATGAAATTCAGACTTGACAGCAAACCCTTTTACCTCTCTCTCTCTCTTTTTTTTTTTTTGACGAAGTTATTCTTGAGTGACAATTATTTTGGTCGGTTGGGAATGCGTAATTTGATCTAATTTTTACAGAAAGAATATATGCAACTTTTTAAACATTTTTTCAACTGTATGTCTTTTTTGAGGTCAGACTACACACATTGGATATTTTCAGTCTATCTGTAACGATTCCCAGTATATCATATTGAAAGCCCATGGCTTTTGGTAAGAAGTCCAAAGAGACAAACTTTCTTCTCAAAAAGTCTTTAATGGAGTCGCAGCCTTCAATGATACTGTATATTTTTCTTTCAGAAATTAGAGTACATTTTGCCAATTGTGTGTGGCACCTTGTTTCAGAGAAGTCCCTATTTCTAACACAGGCATAGCATCAGCAGCTTTTCATTTGCAGGCACTCTGCTCTAACAGCATTTTAATGAGATGGTCATTTTAACTGTTACTGTATTGCTGTTATCTAATAGAGCTCTTACCATCTGCCATCTTCAGCAGTAAATTTTGTAATTTACCTGTAGCAGGTTCTGTGACAAAAAACTTCAAGGAAGAGGAAGGAGGAGAACAATGCCAAAGCTACAACCTTTCAGAAAATTCAGCTGAAATATGTCGGCATCATTTCTGTGGCAGATCTTCTCAACTGATAAAAGAACCTCTGTCTAAAACTTGTCAGAGAAATATTTTTAAAGAAAATGAGCAGCATTTGCACACCATTTGGCCTTCTAACACTTTTCAAAATGTGGCTAATAGTTTGAGAAAATGGAAATTAATGATTGTTTGTAGTTTGAGTCCTTTAATGTAATAGCTCCCAGCCTATGTTACTTAGCTGATGAAATCAGAGAACATTATGCTCTTAAGCAGTATAGGTACAATATTATTCATTTATATCATCACTGAAAAGTAGCCTGATGAAATTACAATAACCTCTAAACGAAAGGCAAAACTACTTCATTCAGTTATATGGTTCCACATTATTCTTTACTATTTGTTCTGAGAAGCCACATAAAAGCATTAGATCTATCAGATTACATAGTTAAGGAGAAAGGATGCAGGACATCAGCTCTTTAGTTGTTATGTTTCTAAGTACTGGTGTTAATATTGCTAATTTTGCCTATAAATATACCTGTGCAGCTAATAACTTAATTTTTTTTAGATAAGCAAATTGTTTTTTTAATGCTCAACACACTGTATGCTAACTCCAAATCAATGACCTGCTGTTTCTGAATTGTTCAGGATCTGAACATCTTGCTATGTGATTTTTGTAAGATACAAAATATTTTGTTTTTTAAAGATGCAGATAGTGTACCATCCCAGACTTAATTGCATTGGGTCAAACAGTCATGTATCTGACTTTTCACCAATTGTGAGCTTCCTGCATTAACTCCTACGTCCATCACTTAAGCTGACGCTAAAGACACGTTGTTTTGGAGTTGGTTTGCATGCATGCTTGACAACCAGGACAATTTCCAAATACTAGCTCATTACTCATCCTTGTACACTGAATCAAACATAATTACGTAGGGAGAAGCATACTTTTAAAATGTCTTTAAAAACAGGTAATATGGTATAGAAAACTGTACCAAAAATTACACTGATTATTTGCTGTTATTAATTTCCTAGGCATGCCTGTGAAAAATAACATTGCAGCCCTACGCCAGTCTCCAGGACAGAATGGCACAAGCTTCCATGGCTGCATCCGTAATCTGTATATCAACAGCGAACTCCAGGACTTCAGAAATGTGCCGCTGCAAGTGGGAATTCTGCCAGGTTGCGAGCCTTGTCACAAGAAAGTTTGTGTGCATGGAACGTGCCATGCTACCAGCCAGTCAAGCTTTTCGTGTGAGTGTGAAGGAGGATGGACTGGACCCCTCTGTGATCAGCAAACTAATGACCCATGTCTCGGAAATAAGTATGTGCTTCCTCAAAACAGAGCAGTAGTGTAATATGTATACAATTTTCCTCTTATGTTTTGTTTTGTTTTGTTTTTTTAATACAATTTTACAGTTCAGTAAGAAACAAAATATGCTGGACATGTAAAAGTGAAAACAGCATCCAATTAAGTTAAACTTAATTAAAAAAAAAAAAAATGTAGGTGAGCAAATCAACACATCACACAGAAGTTCTGCCTAAAGCCTTAATGTGGGATATGATTGCAATCTGTGCTCTTAATACACTTCTGACTAGTTCTGTAATGAATTACAGGGATGCAAATGCAGCTATTGGTATGAAGTTTGATACAAGCATCACTTGGAGGAACTTGCCAAGTGGAAAAAGGCTACTTTTTATCAGAAAGTACCATTCTTATTATTAGTGTGTTTATTTAATTCTTTTTGATGCCTTATTATTTAATAATTTTTTTAAACTTATCCAGTCTGATAGCTTTATATTTCTGCAGTAACCCCACATTTTGGCTAATTTCTACCTTTATGGTAAACTTCTGCTTAAGTGCATGTGTGTTAATTCTTCTTTCAGACTTAACTAGAACATTTTCAGTTGGATGTTTTAAGTACGTTTATACAGCTGGTTTTGTGTATATATATATATATGTGTGTATCTATATAATGATACAGATACATAAGTATGCATATATGAAGTATTTATATGTGTGTTCATCTTATAAATAGTGATGTTCAATTTGTTGGTTCATGATCTCCCAGCACAAAAAGATCAGAAACTTCAGAAGTTCACAGTCCTTCAGGATGTGTTGGTCAAGTGCAATAAGATGCCACTCTGTTGACCCTTACCACTGTCCTTGCCACATTTTTTTTTTCTGAAGGTCCTGCCTGGATTTTTTTCAGCGCTCTGATCTATACAATTTTTTTACTTTTGAGGACCAGTGCCCTAGCTCTTCCTGGAGATTCTAATAAGATGATTTTCAACTCCCATATAAAGTGATGTTTAAGTGATGTTTTGACACAGCGTGCATTGAGAGTCTCACCTTTTAATGCTTTATACACTAATGAGGGTGCTTTGTTTACACTGTTTACAGATTGTTTCAGTGCTATCAATGTTTCAACTATTCCAAGAGCCATAGCAGTGAAATTTTGAGAGAGATCATTGCAGCACTAAGTTGTTCATGAGTCTTTTTCTTATGCTGTCCTCTTTCACAGTATCTTAAGAGAAAGAAAGGGAGTCACAGCAGGTTAAAAAATATAAATGCTGAATCTGAGTCTCTTACATCTATTGTATACTTCAGTAGCCAAAATCAATATGGAACCGTCACGTGAATTCTAAGAATTTCTTTAAAGTATCTTCGTAATATTAGATTGTTTGTGGATTTTTGCAACTGAACACATGCCCAGTCCGAACGTTTCTTGTAGTGAATTAGAAAACTTGGCAAGTATCAGATGCATACAATTTGGAATTTCTTTCAAGGATGAAATTAAGTGAGAACAATAGTAGTATTTTGCTAGATCTTGTAAATGCTGTTTTTGATTCAGCTGTATACAGTGCTGTGAGCTTTTAAGAGAGAAAGACAAAAAAAAAAACTATTTCTTTGGAATGATGGAGGTTTTTATTGTTCTTTTGTTCCTGGGGAATTTTTCTATTTCCTGATGCATCTCTTAAATCCTGTCTGATAAATAGATGCCTTTTTTTCCACCTAGTGCAATATAATGTTTCCACTTTATCTGTAAACAGAATTGTAACTGTGATCTGTTTTGGAAATGTAGAGAATCTCTTAGAGGTCTTGCACACCATGAAAAAGCTTAAGGCTTTGATTTATTTTATGTAAACCCAGGTGTTTGAGTTAGGAACATATTGACCAATGATTGCTCTCAAGTCAGTAAAGGAAGAAACATTTCTTGGGAATAAAATAAGCTTCATATGGTTTAAAAACATTATGGACAAGCTTGTTTCTCTTCATGAGTGTGTAGGGAGCTTATGGCAATTATAAATGTAACAAATGTCTGACATAGGTACTAAAATTAGATAAGCTGAAACTGTGCCTGAGAGTTTGCACTTAGCTTGATGTTCCTTTCAGTGCAGTCTGAAGATGAAATTTTGGGCTTCAAAAAACAGGTGGAAGGAAAAGTGAGAGAATTGACATTAGCTAAGATTTAATCATCTTTAAGCCAAGTAAAACTCTACCAAAAATCCTGACACAGATTGGTTTGATATCTGAAACAGCCTGTATAGAATATGACATGATGTCGGTGTCACCTGAGTAGCTTCAAAGATCAGATGTCCACAGTGTGGTGGTTTTGTGAGTGGCAAACACAAGGAAGGCTAAATGAAAACTAGCTGCTTTGTGACACTGTCTAAGCCTCCAACTTTCAGTTGCTTAATCTAACAGTCCTAGAATATCAGACCACAGAAACAATTTTAAATTCTTTAGGAAACATAATTCATTCAGAAGTGCAGACTCTTGCGTAATGGAGAACTTGGAGGTGCGTAAGCTACTAGTTAAGTTTTACGTTACTTAGAGATTAAGTGGATAAGTGAATAGAGGCTGTGTGTTGTGCCTTCCATTTGAATCTCCTCTATGGATTGTCTTGCTATACTCTTTGTCCTTGTAGTCGCACCATGCTAAAACACGTGCATAGAATTAAGCATACAGATAGGTAACTGTAATATGGCTGTCTTTGGTGGGTGGAACTTGGTGATGTTTACAAGCTGAAGCAAGCTTTTAATAGTGCATTCAGGTTTGTTGAACTTAAAATGTATTGTGCACTCTTGGCACTTTTACCAAATTTCTTATGGTATTGAAGGAGTAGAGTACAAAGCAAAAAGTTACTAGAAATACAGACTGTTACATACAAAATTTATAAATGAGATATTTTTAACAGTGCTCTTTTTTTTTACTATGAAATGACTCTTTTTCTTCCAAGCTGAAACAAGGTATTTTGTTTTCGATCAAATACAATTTCTTTCTCATCTGAAGTGTCTCATTTATTTACGTATTTATTTAGGTGGTTGCCACAAACAGCTAAGGAGGCTGAGAGCTCAGAGATCTTACAATGTGGAGAGGAGTAACATTAGGGTGAAAATGACCATGAGTGTCAGGGTTGCATTTGTCCCTACAGAGGAATCTTTGCTGTCTCCCTAGGAAACAATGTATAGATAGAAGACTTGTGTACAAGGGAGCAGTAAAAGGAAATAACGCTATTTTTAGAAAGAAAGGTATTGACTCTGTGTCACCAAATCAGAAAAGCGAAGTGATTTTATTGCAAGTCACTGGTAGTCACTGGTGATGTTTTCATCAGCAGATGAATTCCCCTAATCCTCTGATTACACACAGGAACAGATAATTAAACATCCTCCTTTTGGGAGATACCATCTCCCTCTCACAAAACTAAGACAAGCTACATATTCTATATATCACAACTTAGCAGCTCAACTCAGATCCTTTTTGTCTAATGGCAAGATTTGAGTTTGCCACAAATATTTACAAGAGACCAACTGAGAGAGTAGCTGATTAAAAACACTCAGGTAAGACCTGATAATCTGCAACGTGATCTAGCATGACTTTCTGCATAAGGACTAGCTGAGCACTGCTAGCGCATACATTATGTGGCCATGCTGCTGGCAGTTTTCAGTGCGAACTAATGCATTTGAAGGGGGACGTGTTCAGCTTTGAAACTTCCATTGCTTGTATCAGAAGAGGTTTAGCTGGGAAGTGTCTGGTCTTTGTGCTGGGAGCCCATACTTCATAAGTGACAGTATGATTATTTTTTAATGAACAAGAACCAAAATTTCAGGTGAGTATCCTTTCTCACTTATCTAATTCTAATGGATTACACTTGGACTGAATCTTGCTGTGCTCTTGAAAGCATGCTAAAAATTTAGATAGACAGAAAGTGTTGACTTGAGTGACTGTGGCCTACAAATTATTCCATAACACATCTACAGCGGTTGCTTTCTGATGAGACAGAGTTCTGTAGTGCAGCTTGTTTTGTGTAAAACTGCATACCAATTATAAACCCTTACAAAGCACTTCATTGCATCTCACTAAAAAGTCTATTAGAAACAAAAGCAATTTCTTCTGAGTACAGTCCAAAGTACTTGTAGTTAATGTTGCTTAGCCTGAACTTTGATGAATAATTTATTTTTATTCTCTTGGGCTTGTTTCCCCTGTAGATGTGTGCATGGTACCTGCTTGCCGATCAATGCGTTTTCATACAGTTGTAAATGCCTGCAGGGACATGGGGGAGTCCTCTGTGATGAAGAGGAAATGCTGTTTAACCCCTGCCAATCCATCAGGTGTAAACATGGCAAATGCAGGCTTTCAGGACTTGGGAAACCATATTGCGAATGCAGCAGCGGATACACGGGGGACAGCTGTGATAAAGGTAAAAAATAAAGTTCAAATATCATGTTATTGTTTTGGTCTCAGAAAATAAGTTTGTTTTATTAAAGCATGAACAGCCAACAACATTACCAACTTTTTTTTCTCCACAATACACACATTTGTTGCATTTTTTTTATTTTTTTTTTTTACCATAAGAATTTATCTCAGTGAGAGAAGAATCAAACTTTTCCCATGAGTTTATTTACATTTTGGATATTTTTTCACCAAATGTCTTGCTGTGAAAACTTTTTTTTTTTTTTTTTTGCCTTTATTCAAAAACACATTTTTACTATATTTAACTACCTTTTACCTGCTATCTTTCTGTATTTATTGTTTCTCTGCCTTCTGCAACTGAGAAGCCAAATCCAATGATTCTGCTCCTAGTTTTATCACAAACTCTACTTTTGACCTCTCAGCTTCAACTGATTTATCACAGCGAATTATGCAGGTGAGATGGATGAAAACAGGATGACTTTTTCCCCTACCTTTTTCCTTTGTCTATCGAAGTTCTCCCTCTCCCTCTGTTTCCCTTACCCCAGATGGCATTTATTTTGTATTGTAAGTAGATGTGAATAGAAGAATATGGTTGTAGAACTTCTAACAGATGTCGCATTTTTTGCTAGTTTTATACCTCGGTAATTTATGAAGTTAGTGGAATGTAACTTGTATTAAATAACAGATTGAATAATATTAAACTCCAGGTCTAATAAATTAAATTGCATGCTCTCTGAAACATTTTCCTATGATAAACAAAACCAGCTGCTAGCAATGTAAGAACAGAAGATGTGTACTTTTATGAAAAAGGAAAAGATTTAAGCTTCCAATTTTCTTGTCATTGTAATAGCTTTGTATTTATGGTTTACATATACATAATATAAACTTATCTGAAAATAAGAGGTGTAGGAAATAAAACTCAGCATTAATCAAATTATGTTTGATAGAACAACTAGTTTCCGTTATGTGTCTGAGCCAAAGTAAAATGCCACTTTCAACTGCAATTAGAAATAGAGCATCTTCTTCAGCAATGTCAAGCATTCTTTGACCTGTATCTCAGAAGCACCTCTCTTATTTTAAATGTTTTTTTCTGCAGAAATCTCTTGTCGAGGGGAACGAATCCGAGATTACTACCAAAAGCAGCAAGGGTATGCTGCGTGCCAGACGACCAAGAAGGTATCGAGACTAGAATGTAAAGGGGGATGTTCAACCGGGCAGTGCTGTGGACCACTAAGGAGCAAGAGACGGAAATACTCTTTTGAATGCACTGATGGGTCGTCATTTGTGGACGAGATTGAAAAAGTGGTGAAGTGTGGCTGTACAAATTGTCCCTCCTAAGTGTTCCTGTCACACTTGTCTTTTGAAAATGTTGTATACTTATTGACCGTGTCGGACTAATTAATGCTTCATAGTGGAAATATTTGAAATATATTGTAAAATACAGAACAGACTTATTTTTATTATGAGAATAAAGACTTTTTCTTCATTTGAAAAAAGATTCAAGTGCTTGAACTGAGACTTCTCATAACCAAGAGGAGCTTTGAAGAAAAAAAAAAAAAAAAAAGACCTGGTAACATTGCAACAGTGATGGGAAACTTAACTACTTTTAACACGGATTCTTCTTTATAACATGCTGAAGATACACTGACACTATACATACGTGACTTTCAACTTAACAGCTCAGAGATGAAATGTTGACCAGAAAATGAGTCTTGTTTTTTCATTTTTGTATCAGTATATTTTATTGTCTTGACAGACCATACCAATCACTTACCTATGGATGAGAATGCACACAGAGATAATAATTGTATGAAGTACATTTTATCTTTCGGAATTATTAAGCATCTTGAGAAGATGAGGTCCCATTTAGTGGATGGGAAATGGGAGATATGAGAATATACTATAATCCTGAAATCTCCTGATGATGTAAACTTTTATGTCAGCATGTTAACAAAAGAAGCATACAAAAAGTGTTTATCTGCCCTTTTCCAGTATTAATTTTTTGTAATATAAATGTTTGGGGGATGATAAGAATAGATTATTGATGGATAAATTAGTAATAATATGGATTTCTGTTTCTATGAGTTCTAAAAACAACTCTATACAGTATTCGGTTTCATTGAGAAATATTTATTGTATCGAAGTACATTGTACTTAACCCTCCTAGGTCATCCCTTTTACTGTTTTTCAATGCTTTAATATATATTAATTTATATTTGTCCCAGTATTTTTGTATTTTTTTTTTAAAGAAAAGGACTTAAAAATCAGGATTTTTTGCAATAGAACTAACGTAGCATGTCGTCTTGGGATAAATGTTTTTGGTCTGTTCCTCCCGTTCCCTTTCCCCTTTTCTTTTCCTTAGAATCTGACCACTTGGTGTCACTGAATCTGAAAGTGATGACAATCTGCAGTTTTCACGTACAGCAGATATTCAGGACACCTTCCACAACCCTGTAATGTGTGACAGAAAATGTCTTTTACACTAGGTGGCAATTGTAGAGAAATTAATTTTCCCTATATACAGTACTTACAGAAAATGAGATGGCATGTAGAAAATGACATTAGAAGGTAGATCTTTATAAATTAATATTCCCATGGAACCCTTTACCTTTTTTTTTCTTTTCTTTTTTTTTTTTTAAAATAAAGAAAAAAAGAAAAAAAGGCTGTGCTATCAAGAACTGTGATTTTCCCCAAATAATAAAGCTACTTTACTGCCCTAATGTTCCCCACGTTAACATGTTGCTGCTAAATTATAATGTAGAATTGGTAATCATTAATAGTGGGTTGTGTTCTTCTTTCAGTAAAACCCAGGGTACCCTGTAAAAATGCAGATGTTTTTCAATTTTATTTTATTATTTTTTTTACAAAAAAAAAAAAGTTAGGTGTACATGTGTAATGCAGTGTGCTTTGTCTTATTTGGACTGATATCAGTAATGCTACTGATGTTTGTAAATTAAACAGATATCTACTTCACTAACTGCTTTTATTTGTATTCTTCTAAAAAGTTCAAATTGTCTAACAGCCTTTAATTAAACACTTGTAGTTGCAAACAGTATTTGGTATAAAGACAAAAAAAAAGAATTAAACCCAACTAGTTCTAGTGTATTCATTGCTGCAAGTCTGAAGGAGTCACATTGTAATTATTGCACCTACAGGCAGGGACATCTGAGAATGTCAGTTCCTTATACACACAGCAGAACTCATAGCAAAATTAACTAAAGACTTATTTATAAGTGAAATGCACTGGGTGTAAAGGCACATCAAGTCTATGCTGGCATTTTAATGATTATAAAATTGGCAACTTGGCAGTGTTAAGTAACTTGATTCTTCAGAAAGCTTTATTTTCACTAATTTTGAGCTAAGCATTTTAAATTTCAGCAATTAGATGGATTGGATATTATACTTTAAAAGGTTTCATTTCTGTAATGTAATTTTTGCATACACTGCTGTATATTTATTTTTCTTAGTCTACCTTAGAAACTGTCTAAATATCAAATGAAACTGCCTTTGACGTGAAGCCTTCTTTTTTGTTCCTGTGACTTCTAGTTAATCTTCCTTAAGTACTCAAAGCTTGCAGGAAAAAGTCTTTTTGCAAAGTACTACTTAGATAGTATTCTTGGAGAAGCAGTATAACTTCTCTGTGTACAACCAAAATGCTTGTACCAAGTGCTTGACTGCTTTCTGTCTTACTGACAGAGGAAGAGGAGCAATGTTATTCAAGCTGTGCTAGCAGATACAATGATCCAAAGTGCATCAAGGCCAGGATTTTGTGTGTGTGTGTTCTAAGCAGAAGCAAAAACTAACAAACAAAAAAAACTTTAATTTCAAATCAAACAAAAAAAAAATTGCACCTACAAGTACCCTTCTGGAAGATACAAGGCACTGCATCCAACTGTGACTTAGAAACTGGAACATCCCCATATTTTCACCAATGAAACTCCTTAAGCATCTACAAAGTGTGCCACTGTTTATGATGTCGCACAGCTCTGTCATTTCTCAGTGGAATGGGTCATCCTGACACATTTATCATCCCTCAGTTGGATTTCCTGTAACGTGGCTGTAATAGTAGACTGTCATGTACAGATATGCCTTGAAGGTGAGCTGGGGATCTGAGGGAATTGTAGCTTTAGGCAAAGTTAACACAGCAGAAGATTTAGTTCAGTGCAGAATACTCCAGGCATATAACTAAAGGAGGTAATAATGATGCAGCTTTTAACACCATGTTCAGGGGTTGAGTTTCCCTCCTAAAGTCTGTGGCCTGCTATAGGAATCAGTCACGTATATTATGCTTTTAATGTATTGAAGAAAATGCACAAACTGCATTGGGTTGGAAAGACAAGGTTCAGTACAGTTCCCTACTTTATAAGTTTTGTTTTTCTTGATTTCTTATGAAAAAAAAAAAAAGAATTTGTGTTAACTGAGATTCCATCGTTTTTCTGCCAGTATTCTTAAAAGTAATTAAAAGCAAAAGCACAAGAATGCCCCTTAATTTGTAATGGCTCATGTGCAGCTCCTAATGTCATCTCAGATGATAAAAATGTGAAAGAACATGGAAAAAAAACTATTCTTCTAAAATGAAAGAGTAAAAAAAGGCATTGTTTTTTTGTTAATGATGGTGAAAGTCAAATCCAAACATGAACAATTTCTTATTGCCACATGGGAGTACTATAAAGCTTAGTATTGCAAGAATCATTATAGAGTGATGGTACTGTGTGTAGCTGCTATGATCAACATGGTATTCATATGATGCTATGAAAACATTTGTCTGGGAAGACCAGAGTGTGGAACTTTTGTGGATTGCAATAAAGCTGCTAGTCATGATGATCCATCATGTTAGCGTTAAATGAAAATGAAAGATGATTAAGAGATGAGGAAGGGGTGCGTGCTTCTTGGAAAGGAGTCTGCTGTTGCGAAGAAAAAGCCTAGAGGTTTTGGAAAAGCAACACAATGTTAGAGGCTGCTTGCTCTGAAGCTTTGGATTTGGGGGTTTTTATCTGTTACTGCTTGAAATATACATACTTAAAAGAAACCTCTTTACAGTTCCCAAAAGCACGCTCTTGTTCTATCTTTAGTTAAATGTATTTGAGGAAAAGTTAATCTTTTTGAAGCAATTCAAAATCATCTTTTGGTTCCTTCTCCTTAGAAGGCCTCACTATTCTCTTGGTAGCTCATTAGGCATGCAAGTGTCTGTGCTCCAGCTGTATCCCACCTTACAGTGGAGAGCCTGGCACATAAAGTTCTCATAAAGTGAAATTCCCCAGCTGAGCCATTTAGGATCCTTGGCTTTTAGATGAAATATTTATACATTGGGCTGGTATCTCCAGTCTATTTAAGATTCCTGGAATGGAAATCAGAGAATCACCAGTAGCTGTGACTGCGTAGGGGCTGTCAATAAAGTAAAACTGAAGTGTTTGCCGGCATGCCTTGAGAGCCTGGCTCATCCTGGAGAGCCTACTGTTTTACTGGGCTCTTTATGTATTGTGTTCCTGGGAGAGAGGAAAGTAGTCATGTTCATCCTTTCAGAAATGTCTGAGAGCAGAGATTTTGTGTCCTTTTGCAAATAAATGGTCTAGGCTGGAAATTATAGGCCTCTTTGGCCCTTAGCCAGGTTAAACTGTGTATGCATACCTTAACATCAACCATCATCTCGGACAGCAACAGCTCCTGATGTTAAAAAAGAAAAAAAGAAAAAAAGAAAAAGAAAAGAAAAAAAAAGAAAAAAAAAACGGAATAAATCTTGTTCTCAGTTTAATAAAACACAGATGGGAAAAGCAAACCAAACAGAAGAGTTAACAACTCTATTCACTGGTCTCCTGGGCTCCATGAGATTAAATCAGAGTTGGAGGGTATGTTCCTGCTGCTGCTGTTCTGGCCAGTGTCCGTAGGGGTGATGGCCAGCAAAGGAGAAGTGCTCTGTCAGTGCTGTATGTCATTTGTCAAGCTGAGAAAAAACAGTCATCTCACAGAACAGCAAGACTTCTGGCTATCCACAGTCCCAGCAAATATGCTCCAGCTCTGCAGCATGACACCCATGCTGCAGGAATTTTGCTCAGCCATGGGAACAGACTTTCAAACTGCCTCCCAGATCCACAGCTCAAACTTAAAATGTTGATCTTACTAATGCTTTCTGTTCTTTACAAGCCCATCCTTTTATTTAACGCCAATTCAGAGGTAAACAACTTTAGCTCCAACCATCGAAAGTCAGTACCTCCAAAAACTGTGCATTACTGTACTACATACAGATTGAGACTTTTTTTTCCTTCCTTTTTCAGTTATTCATTAACATTTGTTGACGGATCAGAAGATCTTCTTTAAAGGAGGGAGACAGGTTACACATTCAGTTACAAAGATCAGGCTTTTTCCATGTCTTTTATAATCTGGAAGATATTACATTAGCTGCTGTAGAACAGTCTGACATAGATTGATTTAAACTTACACGTTCTATGAAATTTTAGACCCAGAGCAGGGAAATTGTTATCTGTTTTTGTCTGTTAGAACTCCTTTTTTCTTTTTTTTTTTTTATTTAATTCCTTTTAAGATACTTT